CTGAAAATTTTTTTTTAAGCTTGTATGATAAAAATTGCTGGAGACACTAATCCAAATAAATGACATAGTAATCTAAATCCTGCCGAGCTCCGCTGGTGCAGGTTTCATTGACGAGGCCCCGCCCTCATTTCCAGCAAATGGTGTGCAAAGCATTGTGAGGATTTTATAACCGCGGAGGATCCACACATGCATCCTTGGAATTTCTCTGAAAGGATCCTTGACATTGGAACAGTGTAACATATATTTGACTGTAAATGGTATAAAGGCAGTAAATAGCTAGAAGCAGGCTAATGAAATCAGAAGACCAGATTCGGCCAAGGAGAACTGGTAACTGATGGACAATAAATCAGGACACAGAGACGGTTGATTTCAGTATAGGTACCATGTATTTAGGAAACAAAAAAAAAACAAAAAACAAATTATGTAAATATTACAAGAAAAATATGGCCATGTAAATAAATGTAAAGGCTAACAATAAGTTTAGCTCAACTCACCAATTCAAGCAGTGTCAGCAGATTCAACAGAACTTCAAGTATTCACAGCTTTTAAAAGGTAACTTCCGACAGCCAGTGGACATCTGCAGTTGGCAACAAAGTGACTGTTAACCTTCATATTGGACATTAAATTAAGTGAACGCCAGCAAAACTTTGTACCAACCTGCAGCCGCTCCGCTCCGTGCATCAGCCCCATTCATCTACTTAGAAGGGTGTCTGCTTCCTGTAAATAGCGGAGCAGCCCAGCTGATTGGCTGCACACTACTCACATGGTTTACGTCATGTTAAACTTATTTGAGTTTGAAAGAGTATTTTACTATTTGCTCATCTGAACCCTGGGTTACAACAGCCCATCGACATGGGTCTATGATGTATCGTCCTTGAAATTTGGCTGTTTGAGGGTCCTTCCTTGATGTTGAGAAATACCCTTGGATTCAGCACTGGGTGTTTCTCAAAAACAAGGAAGGATTCTCAAACGGCCGAATTTCAAGGATGCTACGTCATCAAATCCTGCCAAAGGACTGTTCAAATGTCAAGGATCCTTCCGAATTTCGTCTGCCTCGCTCTCGCATTTTCAGTCGGATACAAAACTAACCGGCATGCATTGTGCGCCAATCGCCGGTGATCGAATCTGCGCAGGCCTGGCTCATCTCGAATGAACCTACTGTCTCGGAACAATTGCGCTTCAAAAGATCAACACTGTGTCGAGCAAACTGGGTCGAACGTAACATCACTAGGCAGCAGACAGGTTGGAGGAGTTGGAGTGCGGTAAGTATGAAATACTGAAATGTGTTTTTTCTTGCATCCGTTGAAGATTTCTTGACTTACTTTCTTCATACGCAGCATCCACTGCAGACGCAACGCATGGAGGGGAGGGAAGTCAGAGGAGCACAAGCATCTGTAAGTTTGCTAACGCTCAACTCTCAGGGGTTTCATTTACACCAGCACAGGCTAGCTAAGCTAACCCATGAATTAACCAAACTATGATGCTTTCACACATAATAGTGTGCTGTCTTGGTCCATATTTTCTAAATAGTTTGGTTAATCCAATCCTCCTCTGACTTCCCTCCCCTCCATGTGTTGCGTCTGCAGTGGATGCTGTGTATGAAGAAAGTAAGTCAAGAAATCTTCAACAGACGCAAGAAAAAACATCACATTTCAGTATTTCATACTTACCGCGCTCCAACTCCTCCAACCTGTCTGCTGCCTCTCTGGGAAGCTCAGAGACAGAGCGTCTAGCTGCCCCAGCCATTACAGTCCTCTGAGGTTTCCACTAAGCTGGCTGTGGCTGTGGGGAGCAAGGCATGTATAGTTGATCCATGCACTCAGGTGTCGATCAACCACTAGGCGAAAAGTTCACCCCATGACACACTTTGGACGGCTCCCTCATTTGCATTTACTTTTCTTCATGCCTTTCTGCATGCATGAAGAAATGTAAATGTGAAAAAAATTCAGGAAGTAATGTAAATGTATAAATTGTATTAAATGTCTGAAGAAATGTAAATGTACAAAGAATGTCTGAAGAAATGTAAATGTACAAAGAATGTGTGAAGGAATGTAAATGTTAAAATGTATGTAGGAATGTAAATGTATAAAGAATGAGTGAAGGAGTGTAAATGTATAAAGAATGTGTGAAGGAGTGTAAATGTATGAAGAAGTGTAAATGTATAAAGAATGAGTGAAGGAATGTAAATGTTAAAATGTATGTAGGAATGTAAATGTACAAAGAATATGTGAGGGAAAGTAAATGTAAAAACAAAAGACACAGTGAGTTTATCAGTTAATTAATGCCTACATTTATTTTTTATGCATTTTTGGTGCAATTTAATGGCATATGAATTAATTTATTGACTCATTTATTTATGTAATTATTTTTAATTTTGGCAGTTCTGTCCTCCATAGAGGTGAGGCCGTCCATCTGCAAATGTGGTGCGCCAGGAGCTGCCCTATAAATAAAGTGCTGACAGATTCAACTTACCACGCTAAAACAAAGGAAAAGCCACCTGGTGTTATAAATACAATATTATACTTGACTACACCAATGACCACACAGGCAGGAAGTCACCAATTGTATATACAACTTAATTCATGGTGCAAAAATTGCTTTCATGACAATATTAACAACACAGTATAAAGAGATAAAAGAAACAAAGAACAAGTCTTTCCATTAGAACCATTGTGAAATACATAAGCATAAATCACTGCATAATGGGTAGCCCAATGTGAGTGATCCAGAACACATTTAAACACAGTTTTCTTCTGCTTATGGCCTTAAACATAGACATATATACATAGATGCCGCATTGACTGCCACTGCCTATCAGAGCCTCAACCCCAGAGTGGGATATATACAGTACAGGCCAAAAGTTTGGACACACCTTCTCATTCAATGCGTTTTCTTTATTTTCATGACTACTTACATTGTAGATTCTCACTGAAGGCATCAAAACTATGAATGAACACATGTGGAGTTATGTACTTAACAAAAAAAGGTGAAATAACTGAAAACATGTTTTATATTCTAGTTTCTTCAAAATAGCCACCCTTTGCTCTGATTACTGCTTTGCACACTCTTGGCATTCTCTCCATGAGCTTCAAGAGGTAGTCACCTGAAATGGTTTTCCAACAGTCTTGAAGGAGTTCCCAGAGGTGTTTAGCACTTGTTGGCCCCTTTGCCTTCACTCTGCGGTCCAGCTCACCCCAAACCATCTCGATTGGGTTCAGGTCCGGTGACTGTGGAGGCCAGGTCATCTGCCGCAGCACTCCATCACTCTCCTTCTTGGTCAAATAGCCCTTACACAGCCTGGAGGTGTGTTTGGGGTCATTGTCCTGTTGAAAAATAAATGATCGTCCAACTAAACGCAAACCGGATGGGATGGCATGTCGCTGCAGGATGCTGTGGTAGCCATGCTGGTTCAGTGTGCCTTCAATTTTGAATAAATCCCCAACAGTGTCACCAGCAAAACACCCCCACACCATCACACCTCCTCCTCCATGCTTCACAGTGGGAACCAGGCATGTGGAATCCATCCGTTCACCTTTTCTGCGTCTCACAAAGACACGGCGGTTGGAACCAAAGATCTCAAATTTGGACTCATCAGACCAAAGCACAGATTTCCACTGGTCTAATGTCCATTCCTTGTGTTTCTTGGCCCAAACAAATCTCTTCTGCTTGTTGCCTCTCCTTAGCAGTGGTTTCCTAGCAGCTATTTGACCATGAAGGCCTGATTGGCGCAGTCTCCTCTTAACAGTTGTTCTAGAGATGGGTCTGCTGCTAGAACTCTGTGTGGCATTCATCTGGTCTCTGATCTGAGCTGCTGTTAACTTGCGATTTCTGAGGCTGGTGACTCGGATGAACTTATCCTCAGAAGCAGAGGTGACTCTTGGTCTTCCTTTCCTGGGTCGGTCCTCATGTGTGCCAGTTTCGTTGTAGCGCTTGATGGTTTTTGCGACTCCACTTGGGGACACATTTAAAGTTTTTGCAATTTTCCGGACTGACTGACCTTCATTTCTTAAAGTAATGATGGCCACTCGTTTTTCTTTAGTTAGCTGATTGGTTCTTGCCATAATATGAATTTTAACAGTTGTCCAATAGGGCTGTCGGCTGTGTATTAACCTGACTTCTGCACAACACAACTGATGGTCCCAACCCCATTGATAAAGCAAGAAATTCCACTAATTAACCCTGATAAGGCACACCTGTGAAGTGGAAACCATTTCAGGTGACTACCTCTTGAAGCTCATGGAGAGAATGCCAAGAGTGTGCAAAGCAGTAATCAGAGCAAAGGGTGGCTATTTTGAAGAAACTAGAATATAAAACATGTTTTCAGTTATTTCACCTTTTTTTGTTAAGTACATAACTCCACATGTGTTCATTCATAGTTTTGATGCCTTCAGTGAGAATCTACAATGTAAATAGTCATGAAAATAAAGAAAATGCATTGAATGAGAAGGTGTGTCCAAACTTTTGGCCTGTACTGTATGTCTATGTGTCTATGGCCTTAAACACATTGTCTCATGGCATGCTGGGAAACTCAACCCATTAAGCCCAAACACAATATGTTAAGTGTACAGTGATAGTGATGCTATTGGCCTTAAACCAATTAGGTATAATGTATACATTTTGCCAAATTAAACCAAAACTCAAAAAATGTTCACTCAACATAGAAAAAATATGTCGAGCTCACAAAGTACGAGTTTTTGTGTCAAGTGTACATAAAGCTTTTATGACATTTTGACAATGCTGGGTATTTGTGTAGACTTTACATTAACATTTTGTGTCATGGATGGATTGGGGTTTACAGTGTTTGATTTGTAACACAATATTAGGGAGGGCCCATTATGTGTGGTAGCCTGTGTGACAAGCCGTGCGTTTATGTCTCGAACAATTTTATATGGCCTGGGAGGATGTTCAGTGGAAACACGACGGGAATTTAATCTACAGTATACCTGTAAGTCACCGTCCTTTAGAGGGCGCTAATGAGGTCGGTCGGAGACCGAGCGCCCCGAAGAAGAAGAAATCGGTTCCGGCGTAAGTGTGGGTCAAACTGAGCAGAGCAGAGGGGCAGAAAAAACTTGGAAGTCTTCAACATGCTATTACGAGTGAGTACATGCAGCAATTTCAGGGAACCCTCCCGTTAGCGTGGTGTGTAACTTACCGGACATTTGTGTTAAAGAAACCGGTGGTCAGATTCCCGTTAAAGTTACAGTTGTCATTACAGCTTGTCGTGTTGAGCATGTTAGCTAAGTGATGGTAGCAGCTTGTGTAAGGTTGACCATATGATCTTCTAACACTTTCCCAAAACACAAGCCCGTGGTTGTTTCTCAAAGTCAGTGAGCCTTCCTTTGGGAGGACGGGTCCGGATCCTTAGCATCCTTCAAATTCGGCCGTTTGAGGATCCTTCCTTGACTTAGAGAAACAACCCGTGTCTTTTTACAGTCGCTGAAAACAGCTGAGCCTGGTGCCGATGTCACCCGTCATCATAGTCAAAGTGTGTCACAGTGTAACTTTCAAAGGAAACAGACTGAAAGGCTACTATTTGAGTTTAAACATTGATAAGCTCAGCAAAGATAAGCAAATTCTTTACTAATTACTAATTGTTACACACAGAAATTAGTCTGTGTCATGCAGAGTGGATGGAGAGAATAGATAACGGCCTGATTTATCCAAGTGTAACACAATGATGTAACGCATCACTGAAATGATTGTCACCAACCCAACCTCAAGAAGAGACTTGCTGTGTTCAAGTAAAAGTACAAAAGATTGCTGCAAGGCATTTTTATGCTTAGTTAAGTTTAAGATGGACTCAAGTTGTCTATAAAACCCCTGAAAATAGTGAAAACAAGAGTACACTGTCTTTTTCTATGTTACATTTTAATACCTGTAGTTATGTTGGGAAAATATATTATAGAAGATCAAAGTCTTGACTATTGAACTTTGCATTAGGCCAGTCTCTCAGTAATTAATTTTTTCCTCAAATACCATTTTGTGCAGCTGAAAACTTTGTCAACTCCATAAGGCTAAAAAAACATCATAGTATTAAAATATAAACATTAAGGAAAAGTTGAATGATTTTTGTTGAATTAAATACAAGATTATTTAATTAGCTGTATGATCAGTAAGTTATGAACTTCTGGAACAAATCAGAGATGATGTCTTTGTAACCAAATTGACCAATTTTTAAACAAAATAACATTAAAGCCCAGTTTTCCTCTGTCAGGATTCCACAGACAATCAATTAAAATAAATAAATGTTTCACCCAAAAAAATGGAAAAACCTTTTTTTTCTTTCTTTTTTTTTGGTTGGACATGAGTTGTCCCAGTTCTCAAAAACGGGTGATTTAAATTATTTGTATTCTTTTTTGTGTATATTGTTTCTATTTATTTATACATTTTTACTATTGTTAATATTTATTCCTGTGTCTTACATGGAATATCTGCCATAATTGTTGACAGAACTGTAGAAACCATTGTGTGTTTTCTGCATGTCTGTGTCCTCAGAGGGCATTACACATTGGAGGCTTGACCCTGAAATGCAGGTCCATCCATCATAGTGCTGTTTGGAGGAGTCCTCTTATACCCATAGTTGTGGAGCAGACGGTGAGTGACTTTAATTTCTAATGACTAATGACTAATGACCAATGACATGACTTCTCTGTGCAGATAAAAAAAAGAGCAGCCTCACTCCATAGACATGGTTCAATAAAGCCCTGAAGAACACTGATGGGAAATCTACACACGCATCTACTTACTCAGGCTTTTGCATTATGCTGGTCTGAGTTGGATTTGGGCTCTGGTGTTCAGGAAGGGATAAGATCTACTTTTTGTTTTGTTTTGTTTTTTTGCTTGGAACAAACAGAAGAAGGAGTGTGTAGTAGTGAAAAAAATGGAGGAAAGAGCACTCACCCACAGTGGTATCGTGTCCTCACACAGGAAAAAGAACAAATGCTTGGATCCTAAGACTTTCAGTATGCAGAATAAAAACTGCTGGATTCTTTATGGGCACTATAATCCCACAACACAATCAATCCTGAATCCTGAGTGGTTGTAAAATAGCTTGATAAAGATTTTTGATTAAATAAAAGTAACATAAACTAAGCTAAACTGGCCTTCAGTTTGCAGATGGTACTAAGGCTCACTCCAAATAATGCCGCAACTTGGTTTTGCGGAACACCACCTTGAAGTTGCCCTATCGTACGGGCCCTATCCAGATTAGTCAAACGTGGCATGCCGATTCTTGGAGCAGACTCCAACTGACCACTGTAGCAGGGCAAATGCTCACAGGTGCTGACACTGATCTGCCAACAGTCAAACATTTGAAATGAGGGCAATCTAAACGTAGTCACTGTTTGCAGTACAAAGTCTTCAGAAGCCACTTTTCAAAGATTTGAAGTCTTTGCAGACATGTGTGTGTCATCTTTGGATCCTAATATTTAAAGCAGGTTGAAATCATTTCATGAATAATTGAATGCAGTGGCGGGGTCAAAACTTTCAGGCATTCTTGCACAATAGGCCTGTTTCCACTGAAGAAGTTCCTGGTACTATTGGGGGGGCAGGAACTACTACAGGAAAGTCCTCTCACTCGGCCTTCTCAACCGCCGTGTCTCCACTGAGAGAGCGGAGTAGGAGGAAGGTTCCTGTGAAGTTACCGGGCTCTGGATGCGCTGCTCGTGTGGCGACCCACAGTTCTCCCGCTCCTGTCCTCCCCTGTTCTGTTATGTGGGGGTGGGAGGGGCAGGTTTTCAATATTTGTAGTATTTTTTTTTTGTATGTTTTTAGTTTGTAAAGCGCTTTGGGGTTGCATTTTTGATGTATGAAAGGCACTATATACACTGCTAAAAAAAATAAAGGGAACACTTAAACAACACAATGTAACTCCAAGTCAATCACACTTCTGTGAAATCAAACTGTCCACTTAAGAAGCAACACTGATTGACAATCAATTTCACCTGCTGTTGTGCAAATGGAATAGACAACAGGTGGAAATTATAGGCAATTAGCAAGACACCCCCAATAAAGGAGTGGTTCTGTAGGTGGTGACCACAGACCACTTCTCAGTTCCTATGCTTTCTGGCTGATGTTTTGGTCACTTTTGAATGCTGGCGGTGCTTTCACTCTAGTGGTAGCATGAGACGGAGTCTACAACCCACACAAGTGGCTCAGGTAGTGCAGCTCATC